CCCAAAGAACCCAGCAGCTGGCTTCGGACCACTGGAAACAGTCCCTGGGAAGCCGCGATCTTTTCGGTGCAGCTGTCTCGTTGGGGGGCTCAGCTTTCTTTTCCCAAAGCTGCTGCTGGCCCCCCCCCCCCCCCCCGCATTCCGGATTCCTCCCATAACAGGCCGTGTCTTAAAAATAAAATGAAACCACATTAAAATCCCTAGACTTGACATCCAAATCGCCACCTGGCAGGCTGGCGCTGATTTTAGTCATTCACGGCATCAATGGGGCAGAAAGAATAGGATATCAAGGGGCTTATTCAGAACGATGGATCATCTAGCGATGTTTTAATTTTTAATAAGTATTTAGAAGAAATGGCTCCCTAATGGTAATTGTAGCACCGTTTTAGAGCGGTTTCAGCCTTCAGAAGGTGCAAGACAAAGAGAGACGTACAACACTATTCACTGAGCTATGTGTCTTTAAAGGAATTAATTTTAAAGGATGCCGTGTTCCTTTACAAATTATTTTTCAGCCAGAGGTAGAGTGTGACACACACACACACGCACACACGAAAAATTGTGCTTTCACTCAATACAATCCTTATGGAGAGGGCTCTCTGAATAGGAGCAAGCTTCTCAGATCAAATGTATGGAGTTGAACTCAGTCTGCAGTAAAACAGACAGAAGCGTTTAAAAAGGTTGATTTGTCCTGCGATGCTAAGAATGTATTGGATTGAGAAGGAAGCCTATGAAGAAAGACAAAACTGAATGAATATAAACTAAGGAATCCTCAATCGTGTCAAATTCAGGAAGCTGGGCTGGCCACATGATGAGAAAGGAAAAATACAGGTTGTTACAGCTGATCATTCGAGGTTAAAAAAGGTGGGAAAGAACTGTGCGAACAAGAAACACGTCTCGGCTGATGAACTTCAGAGGCTGGTTTGGATGAAACACAACGTTTGTGCAGTTGAGCTGCAGCATCCGGAAGGCAGACAAGACATGGCAGCCTCACACCGTGGGTAAGAGAGGAATCAGGAGACGTGAACTTTGGGGACAGGGAGAAAAAATGGGCAAAAGAAAGTTAACGCTATTCAAAAGCAAGGAAGGATTTGAAAAAGATTCCAACTCTGTTAGCTTGGTGCATTTTTAGAGGGAGACTTTTAGAAAATAGGATGATCATCTTTCTCCTGTCCTATCTCAGGGAGTGTGCTTTAACCATTTTGCATGAAGCAGCAGGCAGAACAGGCCCCTGCTTCTTTCTTTCTTTCTTTCTTTCTTTCTTTCTTTCTTTCTTTCTTTCTTTCTTTCTTTCTTTCTTTCTTTTTCTCTCTCTCTCTCTTTCTTTCTTCCTTTCTCTTTCTTTCTTTCTTTCTTTCTTTCTTTCTCTCTCTCTCTCTCTCTCTCTTTCTTTCTTTCTCTCTCTCTCTCTTTCTTTCTCTCTCTCCTTCCTCCCCTCTGCCAAAGCTGTTGCATTCTTCTCTGTCCTCCAGCCCAAACTTATTGGCTCGCTTGTACAGAAATTCCAGAGTCCCAGATGTTGAATGAGCCCCAGCTGTGGAGCTGAAGCCTTCAAGCCTGCTTCCTGCTGGCTTGGTGGGGGGGGGAGGGAAGAGGCCCCGAATAATAAACCTACGGAGGTGCCCTTGGGCTTTGCAGATCACGGACAAGTCTTGTGGAATCGATATATACAGACAGCCCTGAGCATCTTCTTTTGGGGTGTAAACGGTCCTCCATTTGAAGGCCTACAAGAAGACATACACCCCTTTCCCCCACTCCGGGCCACATATCAGGAACAAGAACCATAAAAAGGAAGACGAGCAGAAATCTTGAAACTGCCTGACCACAGTAAGCATCTGGACAGCAGGCTCACAGGTCACTTAGCCACCGCCTTCCCGACTCAAGTGACACAGATGGCATTTCTGCTTAAATCAGGGGAAAAAAATCATTGCTTGTTTTGCCTCTTAATGTCTGTGCATGCAATTTTATGCAAATCAGCATTCTTATTTGTTCTTCTTTTTTTAATGGTGTGGGACTGGCCACTCTCCCAGTTCTCCCATGGCGAAGGGATGCTTATCTCGAATAGTGGTTCCCAACCTTGGGTCCCCAGATGTTCTTGGGCTGCAACTCCCAGAAGCCCTCACCACTCGCTGTGCTGGCCAGGATTTCTGGGAGTTGCAGTCTGAGAACACCTTGAAGATCCAAGGTCTAGATCAATTTTTGATTAAAGGATAGGTTTATTGATTGATTGATTGATTGATTCCATTTATACCCCACCTATCTGGTCATATTAGCCGTGCACAACACTGGGGATGCAGACTTAATCATCCTTAGGGGTGACTTCATTGGTCACAGTCTCTCTCCCTATAGCAGGAGGGGACTGCTATTTAAATCCGACTAATTCTTTCCAAATGTGTGCCTGCTATGTATAGATTAGCCTATGTGAAATAACTCTGGCATCTTTTTTTTCTGTGTGTGCTTTTCTTTGGAGATGCACGACCAATTTGGCTCTGTGTAAATGGCTGTTCAGGATTTGCAGCCGGAGAATTGCGAGTGTCAGGGTGTTAGAGGCAGCATCCCCTCTCTGGATCATTGATAGGGTGGATGGGGTTGCTCCTGAGAGAAACAGGTCTTAATTTCTTAATCAATAGTTGCTTCCACGCTTGAAAAACGGAGTGGCTGTAAAGATCTACAGTCTAGATTGGGCATCCATAACTGCTATTTTGGTGCCTTGCTGGAGGTCTCCCTCTTGCTCTCTGTCTTAAAACGTCTGTTTTGCCGTTGAGTTCATTCAGACCCAATGGACTTCCGTGGCTGAGGTCTCCGGCTGCGGAGCCAGAAGTTGTGAGAGCTAGACGCAATCTATAGGGTCTCTTCCAGCTCTGCCGTTCTCAGATTATTCTATTTATTATAACCTCCACGATGAGGCATTACAGTCTTCCTCCACTTGTTCTCCAGACAGGCTGTACGACAACCCCAATCTTCTAAGATGGCTGTAGAAAAATCAAAATTAGAGCCTAGTATGTCAGGTTGAAGGATGCTGGTGCTGATGGAGAAGGTTCCAGGTTGAAGAAAACTGCAAAATGTCAAGGAAAAGGTCTTCCATGCCTCCTTAAAGGTTCATGGATTTCTCTCTCTCTCTTTCTCTCTCTCTCTGTGTGTTTGTGTGCACACGCATGCATGCACCGTATGACCATCAGTGGGAGAGTGATCAAGAAATTAATATATTAGCACTCAGATGTAGCTTATGTAATACTTTAACATATGTATCCGTACCAGCATAGCCAGAGTTTGGGGGGGAGAAGAGTCTGGTTTGAGCAGGATTCGAGCATCATTTCGAAGGCAGAAGAAGGCTGGCTCAAGACGTCTCTTTGCTTAAAATGGGCGATGCAATGAGTGATACCCTTTGATCCTCCAGCAAACCAGCACACTTCTTGGGCTTTTGGGAAGACGTGAACCACAGGAGGTAGTGAAGGCAAGGCTAGTGAGGGCAGAGTGACAGCTTGTGTGCATAAGGCCATAAATAGCCCAGAATTTTGCACGCGGAGTGCAAGAGGTGGACCCTAACATGCCATAGTAGAGTCTAGCTACGGCTGAAAGCAGGATGTTTGGGTCCTGTGCTGAGATGGTGCTTGGGATATGGGGCTGGAACATGGGGCGCAATTTCTTAGAATCATCTTTCGGCGTGACACACCTACCCACCCAAAAACAAAACACAAAAACCTGGGAATCTTTATGCCCAAAACTTTTTCTTTCCAAGAGTATCTGGAATCGTCAGGCAGCTTGTGACCCAATTCCCCCTCTCCCCCCCACCCGACACTGCCCTCTTTCACCACAGCTCCTAAATCCCACAAACCCGTGGGACATCCTCACAGGGCCGTCTTTGTGCCTGGAGAAGCTTGCGCTCTCCGGAGCCCAAAAAGCTGACCCCATGATTCTCGGCAGCCCACCAAAGTATGTCGAGGGCGAAACTTGCCAAACATGGGAGGAGGCTGCATCTGCTGACGAAGCATTTTCCCGCGGCTTCCTAAGCTGGGGGAAAGCGCTGTTTGTTTTGTCTGCCTTTGCAACAAACAGCCAAGCTGCTGGGACTTCTCGGAACATGTAGGGTCACACGAGGGAAGGCTCCCAAGCAGGGCGGCTTCTGTTTTGAGTGCGTTTCTCGGCCTTTTCTTGTATTCTTAATTGGAGAGGGTGGCGGTTGCAAAGGCGAAAGGAGCTTAGACAAGCCAAGCATGCTTTGCCAAAACCTGATCTATAACTCTTTGCCAAGTTGCTTAAGGGCCCCCTTTTGCAGTTCCGCCACTTTCTATGAAAAAATGCATTGCTTTCCTTCTACAACAGCGGCATTTTCCATAAATGGAATTCTCCATGTATTTCAAACCAGAATCATTTTATTTTGATCTTTTGATGGTGGCGAGGATGGGCTGTCAAGTAGCTTCCGACTTATGGTGGCCCTTGGAATTAATACCCTTCAAAGATCTCCAATTTTTAACAGCACTTCTCAGGTCTTGTGAAATCGTGGCTTCCTTTATTGAGCCACACCATTTCACGTTCAGTCCTCCTCTTTTCCTACTAATTTCTGCTTTTCAGCAAGACTGAAAATCCCAAGTCCAAAGTAGGATAGCATCAGCTTTAGCTTCTAAAGACAATCAAGTCTAAAACCCTTTGTCTTTTGGTGTGCTCAAGTATGCACCTGTGCTCTGGAAGTGAGATGTCATTTAAGTGTTCTTAAATTGGACTTATGGACATGCAAACTGAGATTCCCTTGCAATCTTAAGGACTAGAGCCTTCTTGTTACATAACAGTGGGTTAGACATGATCAGTAGCCTTGAGTATGTACCATAAGCTCTGTTGCATATCTTCATCCATCATCTTCAAAAGCAATGAGTGTTCTGGGCTGAGCACAGTTTCATTGCGTGAACTCATGCCAAGGAAAGGAAGTGTGATCCTGGAGAATGTCAATAAGTCTTTGAGATTGATTTTTTTCCCCCATTTCTCTCTCTCTCCCTCTTCCCATTTAGGAATGGATCTGTCTGCTAATCAGGATGAAGAGAGTGATCAAGAAACCTTTCAACTGGAAATCAACAAAGATACGAAGAAATGCACCTTCAGGACCTATACTGGGAAATACTGGACCCTCACCTCGAACGGCGGGGTACAATCCACTGCCTCCACTAAGTGAGTCCCCCCTGTTGCAGAACCCGGTTGCTCACTCCCCCACCCCGGAAAAATGCTGTGATCCTTTGAACTAGGAATCAAGAGCAACATGACAACTTCTAGATGTTGAGTGGAGCAGAACCACAGCTTCCATAACCCCTGACCACTGGCAATGCTGGTTGGGGATGGCTGGGGGGGGGGAATAGATCCTGACATCTGGAGGGCCAGAGGTTCTTCATCCCCACAGTAAACAGACTGGGATAGGATTCATTGTGTTTGGCTGGTCTGGTTGTTTTCATCCACTCTCCACTAGCTTTAAAATAGATTGTGAGTGGAATGTCCCCATGTTTTCACTCCACCATTGTGTATTTATTTGTTATATATTTCTTCACACTTTTCCTCTGCTGAGTTTAAGCTGACGTACATGGCTTTTTTAATCCTCGTGTTATTCTCGCAATAAACTCTATGAGGTAGGTCAGATGGAAAGAGGAGACAGCCTGGCCCATGGTCATCTAGTAAACTTCATAGCTGAGTGGGGATTTGAACTCAGGTCTCTTAAAACTTTAACTACTAGGCATAACTGGAAACTTACTAGGGTTTTTCTGATTCTTGCCCATGTCTGCTATGGATCATCAAGGGCAGCCCCCGTCAAGGAGGCACAGTGGGGAATTGAACTCCTAACCTCTGGCAGCCAGGGGTTGCCTGATGCCTCAACCACTTGAGCTATCCAGTAGTTCTCATAAGAATCTGAGTAGTTCTACTGCTGTGTTCTCTACTTCTGCACAACTGGTTTGGGGCGACATGGGTGGAAAAGGCTTGTGTGGACACTGAGTGTTCATATCCTCGTGGCAGTGCTGCTCCTTCTGCTTGCTTGCTTTTTTTTCATTCTCCCTCCCTCTCTCTTTTTTTGGCACATCAGGAATGCCAACTGCTACTTTGACATCGAGTGGTGTGACCGGCGCATTACGCTGAAAGCGGCCAATGGCAAATATGTGACGGCAAAGAAGAACGGGCAGCTTGCAGCCACTGTTGAAACTGCCAGTAAGGACCTGCCATTCCTCCCCGGGTGGTGGAATGAAGTGCTGAGTACCAGTTTTCCAGGCATAAGAGCAAGGGTTGAAGATCGGGTACCCAATCTAGTTTAAAGAAGAAGAAGAAAAGGAGCCAGGGGTTGCAGGATTGAGACATGATGGTTGCACTGGAGGCAGGAGACACATGTAGGATAATGCTTAGGTTTCCCAGGAGCACCTGGCTGGTGACAGTCCATCAGGGCTCCTCTCACATTCTGACTTTCACCTGAGACCAGGTGAGCAAGCCACCGTTAGTATCCATTCATGGTGGCAGCGGTGGGATCAATTTCAGCCTTGTGTAGCCTCCGTTTCTATGACGGCTTTTCTGTTCTTTCAATAAAGGAGGACACCAGGAAGGTATACTTGGGAGTCTTGTACTGAAGGACATATCTGTTTATTTGTTCATTTGTTTAAATTAAATTTTGTACCCCACCTTTCTGCCAAAAAAAAAGCCACCTAGGAAAACTAAAGACAAAAATAACATTCAAATAAAAGCAAGTATGATGAAATGTGAAAACAGATCAAAAACCCACCAGTAAAAAAGAAATAATGGCATCCAAGCAACTGTAACTAGTCTCCTATGTTTAGGGGTGTGTGTGTAATACACTTGACATTTATATACCGCCAAGGCACTTCAGACTTTTATGACAATTATGAGGGAGCAACCTCCAAAAGCTCCAGTCATAAACAGTCCTGTTCAGCTGTTCAAAACTCGAAACTATGGTTTCAAATCTTGTATTTGATCTTCCTCTTTTCCCAATGCCTTCAGCCTTTCCCCAGTGAGTCTTGCCTTCCCGTGATGTACCTGGGTGCTCTCCAGATAGTTTATTCAACCCTCTCAGAGCCCTGAGGTTAGTTGTAATGACCCAGACCAATGGGACACCAGATTTTAACATCTAGATGTGACTTGGAAGTAACTGTTTTTCAGCTGCAAAATGAAAGTCAAACTCTGCTTGCTCTTTGTGAGCCCTCATCGACGCCATCGTTTTTCTTTCCGTCATGAATAGGTGAGACGGAATACTTCCTCATGAAGCTGATTAACCGGCCCATCATAGTTCTTCGAGGAGAGCATGGCTTCATTGGTTGCCGGAAGGTAACTGGGACCCTGGATTCAAATCGTTCCTCTTATGATGTCTTTCAGCTGGAATTCAATGACGGGGCTTACAATATCAAAGGTATGAATTTGTGTGTGTGGTTTTTTTTAATGTATTAGAATGACAGGTTATTCAGCATCAGCAGTCATATAGAGAGAGACAGGCATTTTTAAAGAGAAAGGTTTTTTGACACCGTAAAAGCTGTTATGGCTCAAAAGTCACTTAGCTAAAGTTTCTAATGATGCATGGGTGGACCAAATATTCAATTTCTGTCTAGATAAAAAGATAACCTGTCTTTCAAAATTACTTTCCCCCCAGTCTCTTTTAGCTGATTATTTGCCCATTTCTGCCAAAGCACCATTGATTATATCTGACCAACCCACTTATGTATATTAAATCCATCGAGGGTTTTGTCTTTTAGAAGTCTCCACGCATGTAGCAAAAGAGCAATATTGGCTCTTTTTATCATAGTTCTTCATTCCACCCTCACTCTCCCATAAAGATGGACAACATGAACCTCCAGAAAAATGAACTTATTAATTCATCAAGGGAAATTTGATCCCAAGGGTGGGAGATGTTGAAACAAGAAAACTTCGTATGCGAGAGGTTGTCTGTCGTCCAGAGGACAGAATGGTGATAGTAGCCCATTTTTTGCACACTTTGTATAGGTTATAGAATAGTGCCTTTCCTTCATGTGCAATTTAATAATCATCTTAGAACTGCACAGTTGGACGGGAACCTCTGGATCATGAAGTCCAGCTCCCTCTCAAGAAGACACAGTGGGAGAATTAAACTCCCAACCTCTGGCTTTGCAGCCAGATGCTTAAACCAGTGAGCTATCCAGCTGTTGGGTATAACACGCGTTTTTACGTAGTGTTTTCCAACTTCCTTCTGAACGCATTATGTACATTCGTGGGATCGCGTTGCTGGTCAGCGTCGAGGACAATGTGATTCTCCTGACTTTCTTCCCGTGCGCCTCATGGGGTGGGGCGGAAACCCACAGGATCTGGGGGGAGCCAGAGGTGGCCCATGGGACGCCTGACCATTTCTCTCTGTGGCTTGCAGATTCCACTGGGAAATACTGGATGGTGGGCAACGAGTCGTCGGTCATGAGCAGCAGCGACACTCCGGTGGATTTCTTCTTTGAATTCTGCGACTACAACAAGTTGGCCATCAAGGTCAATGGCAAATACCTGAAGGGCGACCATGCTGGGGTCCTCAAAGCCTCCGCCGACGCGATCGACTCCTCCACCCTTTGGGAATATTAAATGCACTTTAGCTTCCTTCCCTCAGCTCTGTGCGCTCTTCCTCATCCCTCTCTTCCCTTTTCAGTTGCCAATTCTTTTTATTTTTCAATTTTGTTTGTGGGTTTTGGGGTTGTGTTTTCTTTTGTTTGTTTTTATTTTATTTCATTCTGGTGTGTCTTTTCCTTTAAAAATGAAAAGTGCAGGGTTCTTTCTGACTGGCCTGCTGCTTGTCTCCTGACATATATAAAGTTTTGAGTTGATCTTTTCCTTTTGTTATACATGTTTTCCTTTTTTCCTTTCTTTTAAATAACTGGAAAATGTCATTAACCTGCCCAAAGCGACGCAGAACGTCTTCTGCGTAGACCTTTCGCAGGGTTGTGGTGGAGAGCGAAAAGGTTGTAAAGGTAGGCTATTGAAGCCCACCGCCTCTTGCTTAGGAGGGTGAGGGCTTCTGAATTTAAAAAGGGAATAAATCTCACTCTGCTGTCTCTATTAAAGTAGAACCGATCCCCTTTCTACTGTCAAGAGACCCTTTGGGTCAGCACAGTGTCTTACAGCTGATTCGGAGGGGCCGTTCTTCAACCCAAGTTTTCTGCCCGGTGGGTGGCGGTGGCCTTGTGTAAGGAGGTCCTTGCTTCTGATCCTACCTTAACTGCCTCCTTTCTCTAGTGAAGGCAGAGAAAAGGTACCGGAGCGTGTCTTACAACCCTTTGAAGCAGATGAAGAGAGGGGAAGTTGGTGGAGTAAGAGGATCCGTTTTAATGGCTGTCTTGAGCCAGCAAACAACTGCAGTTCAGAGGGACTAGAAACTTGATACGCGCACGAAAATGAGCAGTAAGAACTAGAGGAGCCCCAGTCGTTCATCTTGTGGGAGACCGAAGGGTTCCTCTTCTTTCTGCTTTGAGCTCCTTCGGGTCCCCTTCGTGCTTCTAAGTGCCCAAGGAGCCACTCCAAGCTCCTCTTCGAAAAGCCATGGCAAACTGCACTCGGGAGACGCTGCCTTACTGTTCTTCTCCACCTCCCTCTGGAAGGTGCCCGACGTGGTTGATCTTTTACGCTCTTTCTCTTTTTAAGTATGGGAATTGCCGTCTTTAAGGGACATCAGAAGGGCCAGGGCGACCTGAAGAGAGTTCCCTGTGGATGACAGTGTTGGATAGGTGTCAAGCTGCACATCTCACTTATCCCAGGATCCCTTGTGTGCGTTCTCCCCCTTGAGAGCTTATTCCCCTGAATTGGGGTGCTGTCCCCCTCCATCCTGCATCTCAGTAGCACCCGATGATTGCACAAACTGGATTCCCATACAGATCAAGAGCCACAGGCTTTTGTGTGTCCCTCTCTCTATCTCTCTTCTGGCCTATATCGTACCTCTCTTCATTCTGGCTTTATTTGGGAACCTATTGTTCTTGAAGGATAGCTGTATCTCAGCAGCTTCGTGCGGGTGAAGAAGCCAAGATAGGTTCTGGGGGAAGAGGGAGGTGAACCAGGATCAGAGTAAAGCTATGTCGAAATGCATGTGTGTATGCCTGTGGGGGGGGAGTGCAATCCGGGAGGGGGGTCAAACTTCCCTGATAGGCACTTGCTCAGAAGCGATTTGCTGATGTCCGTTTGCAGCCTGGAAAGCTATGGAAAAGAGCAGTCTTTTGCACAGTAAATGTTCAGTTCCGTCTTCTCTCATCTCAAGCCGACTGGAATTTTCTGTCCTCTTTCCTCCTGTCTCCCCCCACCCCCCCGGATCACCAATGTGAGGGTGCGTGTTTAGGCATCCGTTTTTGACTTGCGTGCTTGAATAGCTTCCCTAGTGGTTCCCTCCGTGCCCTGTGCCTGCTACTGACTTGTGTTCTCAAGGAGGGCCTGTCCCCATTTTTAAAGCATCTCTGATCCCCGTGGGCCATTTTACGATTCCATGCTCTCTGCCTGCCTAGTTCCGCCAATGGAAAGATGACCAAAACAGTGTGTTTATCTATTTATGTACGCTCTCCGCAGAGCCATTTCTTCTAATAGCTTTACTGTACTGTATAATCTCGGCGAATCATTTGTAAACACGTTGCTTAACTGTTCGGGAGTTTGGAAACGTTTTGCATACCTGCACACTTCGTTGTTTCTTATTAGGTACCTTCCTGGGGGGGCGTTATCTCTGTTCCCTTAAGCCAACCCTGTTAATGCCTCTGATTTGGGCAATCGAACCTTAAGCAACAGGGAAGGAGGTTCAGATAAGAGTTGTTGCTACAGCTCTAAAGCTGAACCTGTGAAGTCATTCATCCCATATCACCTCGGCAGAAGCCACATGGCTGTTACCATTGCTAACACTCAACGGGTTAGTCCTTGAACTGTTAAATGCAGAGCAGCGAGGGGACAGGACAGAGGAATCCTGAGCCTTAAAAAAATAAAATCCACACTGCCATCTTAAAGAGGTTTTCTTGCCAGGGATACTTGGTGCTAAATTCTCCAGCAGCTGGACTTACTTGCCTTACAAGTAGCATTACATTCCAGGACCGTATAGGAGCGAAACTTGGGATAATCAGAATTTTCCAGCTGCAACAAAGATTTTCTGCACGTTTATAAAAAAATGCAACTTTGGGAACAGAGATGACTTGCCAAAAAGCCCAGATGTCTGGTCCCGATTTCTCAAACACTTGCTGGCCTTCACGTTTCATACGATGTCTCCCGGATCTATCTTCTCTAGTTACCAGTTTGAATCATGATGTAAACCCACTGCCTTCCCGCTGCGTGTAAAACCACTGAAGTCAATAATTCTCCTTGCCTTCTTCCTTGAGTATTGTGGTTCTGAAAAAGCATCTCACATTTTGGTATATTTTGTTAAGGTTTTTTTTTTCCTTTTTAAAACACTTTTGTAAGTGCCATTTGTATAACAAGCTTCAAATGGAGAAGAGAAGTGACAAAATAAAAACCTGCATTCAGATAAGAAAAGATTGCTCTGTGATTCTTTCCTTCTTTAAATCATATCCTTTTGGTGTTTCTGGTGTGTGTGACTTAAATCAATGGTCTACATAGATAGCTAGGGTAACCCAGGTATGGCCCATAAATCATGGCCAGCCCAGCTAGTGGTGAAGGCTTCTGGGAGTTCTAGTCCTAGAACATCTGGGGATGCAAAGCTGGAAACTACTGGTCTACATGATTCAAAGGTCCAAGGCCAAAATCTCGCAAGGTGCTCTGGCAGTGAATATCAATGGGATCAGAATGGTCTTTTCCTCTTGCTATGCTCCCTGATGCCATAAATGTGCTCTGGAGGACTGCCCAGCTGTCTAGAGCACATTTTTACAAAGTGTGAAGTGCAGATGGCTAATTCTAGCAGTGGCAGTAGATTTCCCTCCTCCGTACTACCCAGATTCCAAACAGAACTCCCCTTTCCTGCCTGCCTTTCCATCTCGGCCATGTAGTAATCATCTTCTAAAAGCCAGACATCCTAAGGTTTCTTCCTGTGGCATGCCAACCCTTCGCTTCTAGCCCATGATGGCCCTCAGACAGGTTTTGACATTGAGAGATGTTAAAGCAGTGTTTTACCATGGTCCACCTCCTGCGGAGTCTCCATGGTTGGGGAGGGATTTGAACCCAGGTCGTCTTCTCCAACGCTCTGTCCACTAAACCACAGAGATGCTCAGATTCCTTGGAGAAAGAAGTTAATTGCTAAACTGATGAGCCCATATTAACCGGTTGCATAAATGGGGCACCTCTTTGTTGAGATGTTTCCCCAACCCGCTCAGTACAGCTGGCCTCATGAGTGGAACGCCAATTTCCCAGCACTAATCCTTGATGATGTGGAGGGCGCAATGGACCCAGACACCGGAGAGGAGGGTGTTGACTCCTCCACACTCTTCGGACGTTTTGATGCAAGTGCTTTGACACATCATTTTACATACCCAGTAACAAGGGCTGTGTGTGTAAATTGCGACACAAAGCAACGGCCCTACAGCCTAACTTCCAAATAACAATCGTCTCCATGCTAGCCAATTCCTCCTCCCCCCTACCCCAAGTCATTTCCACAAATGAGCTCGGAAATTTTCCTGCTCTGTTTTATTAAGAGTTTCGTATATATTTTTTTGGCCAACTGCACTAGAAGACTTCAGGATCAGCTTTTATCCTCCCCTCGCCTTTCTTTTGATTCATCGGTTCCAAACATAACTTTCCTCAAAGGAAGAAGGGAAAGCTCCCACTTCACAATCTGTATTTAGGGTCGTCTTATCTTTTTTTAAAAAATAATAGAAATAAACGGCTCTTGTGCCATTTCAGAAAAGCTAAGAAAAGTGAAATTTGGATTTTGCTTATAGCAAAGACAAAAAAACACCCCAAAACACAGATAGGCGGGATACAAAATCAAATAAATAAAAAAATTATAGATTGAAAAACAAAACACCTATAAGAGAATCTTATAGATTCTGAACATATGTTTACTAAGAACTTAGCACTACCATGCTTACTAGATTCCCTCCCTGCTTTGCATTTGCAAGAAAAGCACATCCATCATCTAACATGCACATATGTATGCATGGTGTGCTGTCAAATCAATTCCAACTTACGGGGACTCTTTCTAGGATTGTCAAGGTAGAGAATACAAAGGAATGGTTTACCATTTCTTTCTAGCAGGGGTGCCCTGGGACTGAGCAATTGGCCCAAGGCCACACAGGCTGGCACTATTTGCAGGAGGCACACTGCGGGATCATACTCCCAACCTCCGAGAGACTTAAACCACTTATTTACCAGTTCTGCTTGCGTCTAACATGAAATGACTGCAAGCAGAACTGGTAACAGAAAATGGAAGGATATTCACGGCACATCATCCAGTTTCCTTAAGCCAGATGTCCTCACAGGGCCTCAGACATACATCGTCCTGTCCACGCCTGTTAAAAAGTTGTCTCCATCTTTGGCTCTTGCCCTCCTTATCTGTTATGGTTTTGCTTTGACTTGTGTTAGGAAAAAAAAGATGGCCATAACAATGAGAAATATCGGTTCAGCAATGTCCAGGTCCCGTGCAAAATTCTGTAGGAGGCAGTGTGGTGGCAAAATAAAAGCCCATGCAAAATGGGCTTTGAGAAATGTGCTAGGTTTGGTTGAGTGTAAAAGCAAGCTGGAAGGCCGGCAGCTGCATGAAGATTCAGGCTTCCCTAACACTGTTTCTAGATAAACAAAAATGGAAGTCCCAATTTATATTTAGGGAAGGGTTCAAGTTTTCTAGCAGAATCTAAGCTTTGGATTTTTCCGAGATGAAGTTGTTTACAAAGCAAGTAACCTGTATAGAAGCGGGTACTTTTGCGTATTCTTTTCTAAGAATCATAGTTTTTCCTTTTCAAAAAAAGTATTCAAGCAGGAATCTTAAAACCAATTTGCCCTAGGAAAAAGCAATTTAATATGTGATCCGATCAAGAAAGGTGTTGTCTGAGTTATTTATGTCTTCGAGAAAAAAAATATGAGAAGTGGTGGAGGGACGGATAATCAAAGCAAAAGCATTGATGGGTTTTACTGCCCCTGCTATGTTATGCTGCAGCTGGTATGGGAAGATGATCAGCCCAAATCATGTTCTAAAAGCCATACACCAGGTCTTGGTTGCCAATAGCAACTTGCTGGAGGTTTCATTTTCTTTTTTTGTAAATGGCTGCTAAAAGCTCTGTTTCTGGCTCAGTATGAGCAAAAGCAGGCTGGGTTTGAGGATGGGTTCAGATTTTTGTCTGCCCATTAGCACTTCCAAAACAAACAGATCGTGCCGCAGTCTTGCTCTGATCTGCGAAGGTGGGCATCGTTTGAAAAGATGGAGAAGTCGGGGTACACCATCATCTTTCACCGTTTGCTCTTAAGCGTTCCCTGTGACCTTCCCAGTTTTAAACAAAGGTATTTATTATTTGGGGTTTACAATCGCTATCGATGCTCACCACTGGCTATGCAACGTCACGTACGTGATCAAAATTGTGCCGTGGGATCTAAAAGCAGCCGAAGTGAATGAGTTTACAACTGCTAGGGTGCATGTTCATAAAACCTGCACCAAGACACGGCAAATGTTGCACTTTTGTGCTAATGACACAAGCAAATTGGATGAATATCATTTATTTGCATGCGTCCTGTAATTTTTACTATTCTGCACAATCACGATATCCACAGTCACTCAGAGAAGAGGCAGGAGTTATCCGAGGTGCTCCTGAGATTTCAGGCATTTTCCTCCATGCTTTGTGAGATAAATCATGCATCTATCGGGATTTAATATGTGCATTTTTTAAAAAGGGATAGCTAAAGTTCACAGGTAAAAAATAAATCCTGTGCCAAATACTCCTTTTCTGCCTTCCTGAGTGAATCAGCAGATGGGAGCCAGAACTGTGTATTGGACAGAATGTCAGACTAGAACTTAGGAGATCTGGGTTCAAATCTCTGCTTGGCCATGGAACCTTATGGGAGGTGACAATCTAAACCACTCCTTGAACCTCTCACACAGATTGAAAACCCTAGTGGGATGCTGTCGGTTGGAAACAGTGCATAATGACAGCACATTCCTTCTGACTTATGGTGACCCTACGAATGAGCCATCTCCAAAATGTCCTGGTCCTCAACAACCCTGCTCAGCTCCTGCAGACTCAAGTCTGTGGCTTTCTTAAGGGAGTCAGTCCATCTCCTGCTTGGCCTTCCTCTTTTCCTGCTGCCTTCCACCCTTCACGGCATGATGGTCTTTTCCTTCCAGTTTTCCCAGCATTATTGTCTTTTCTAGAGAATCCTGCCTTCTCATGATGTGCCCAAAGGAGGACAGCATTACTTTGAACATTTTTAACCTACAGAGATAGTTCAGGCTTTGTTGGCTTTAGGATCCACTTGTCTTTCTGACAGGCTAACCACAAAGCTTTCCCCGCCCCCCAGACTTCTTAGCTGTCCAGCTTTCACACCCGCCCACGGTGATTGGAAATACAAGCGGTGATTGGAAATACAAGCGGTGATTGGAAATACAAGCGCGTGGGTGATCTTGGTCTCCAGTCATCCCTCCTTACACTTGATATTTTCTAGTTCCTTCATTGCTTCCCTTCCTAGTCTTCTTCTAATTTCTTGGCCACAGTCTCCATTAGGGTGGATGATTGCACCAAGGTATACAAAAAACGATACTAGGGAGGTGAATGAATCTTCCACTTTCTTGTTCATAGGCTTTCCCTGCCACTTCTTCCCCTCAGTGACCGTTACTTTGTTCCAGCCGTTAAGAGGCTGCTATGCTCTCAAAAAGGGTCAAAGAACAAAACTTCCTTATTTTAGGCAATGCTTCCCAAAAGATTTGAGGAAAGAAGCTAACCCTATGTGGGATTCCTTCCTTCTGGGCCACTACGCACCCATTCAGGTGCTAGAGTGGCCTCCAGGCCCAGTTGTTCGTTCGTTCGTTCGTTTAGTCGTTTAGTCGTGTCCGACTCTTCGTGACCCCATGGACCAGAGCACGCCAGGCCCGCCTATCTTCCACTGCCTCCTGGAGTTGTGTCAAATTCATGTTGGTTGCTT